TCCAAAGAACCAAAGGAAAATATGAGAACAAACAGAGAATATCAACAAAGATATGGAAGCTATAAAAAAGAAATCAAATAGAAATTATGGAGTTGAAAAGTACAATAACTGAAATGAGAATTTCCCCAGAAGGAGTCAATAACAGCTTTAAACATCCAGAAGAAAGAATCAGTGAATTTGAAGAAAAACTCTTTGAGATTATCCAGACTGAATAACAGAAAGAATGAAGAAAAATGAACAGAGTCCAACAGGACATCAGCAAGTACACCAACATATGCATAGGAGGAGTCCAAGAAGGAGAAGAGAGAGAAACAAAATATAATAGAGGAAAACAAATCTGACTCCATATTGGATCTGTTCCTCTAGTTTTAACCACTGTGCCCTGTTTTCTAGGCTGAGTTTTGCTAGCTCTGCACCTTTTGTAAAACAATGTGGTCTTTAGCCTGAAACATACAGGAAAGCCTATTCTTGGGGCTCTGACCTTTAAGGATGTTAGTACTTCCACACTTATGTAGAGATGGCAAATTGCAAAATAGAGAATAACCTTTGTTTTGTTGGAGGTTTACAGGGACACCATGGCCAGACCCACATGGATGGCTGCAAGAGCAAAGAATTCCTGCAGCAAGAAGTTTGCAACAACCAACCCCTCCCCTGTTTTTTTGTATAAAAGGAGCCTGTATTCTGACTGGAGTAGGATGGTTCTCCAAGACATTAGTCTGCCATCTTCTCAGTCTGCCAGCTTTACAAATAAAGTCGCTATTCCTTGCCCCAACACCTCGTCTCCCGATTTATTGGCCTGTCATGCAGCAAGCAGAACAAGTTTGGACTTGGTAACAAAAGGAGTATAAAGAATATCTGAAGACGTAATGTATGAAACTTTCCAAATTTGATGAAAAACATTCATCTGCACATCCAAGAAGCTCAGCAATCATTTGAAAGGCAGAGACTTTTGAAAGCTGCAAGAGAAAAGTGACTCATACAGTACCAGGAATCCTCAATAAGATTAAGAACTGATTTTTCATCAGAAATTATGACATCCACACATGCCAGGCTACAAAACAAGTCTCATTAAATTTAAGAGGATAGAAATTACTTTTTCTGACCATAATGATATGAAACTAGAAATTAATTACAGGAAGAAAAATTGGAAAACATGTGGAGACTAAAAAACATGATACTAAAAAAAACCAATGAGTCAATGAATAAATCAAAGAAGAAATACATAGAGGCAAGTGAAAATGAAAACATAACTTTCCAAAATCTATGAGATGCAGCAAAAAGAGTTCTAAGAGGGAAGTTTATAGTGATACAGGCCTATTTTAAGAAACAAGAAAAATCTCAAATAAACAACCTAACCTACCACCTAAAGGAATTAGAAAGAGAAAAACAAAGAATCATGGTCTAGAAGACAGTGAGATGACATAGTCAAAGAGTTGAAAGAAAAACCTGTCAACCAAGAATTTTATATACAGCAAAGCTATACTTCAAATCTGAAGGCAAAATTCCCAGATAAACAAAAGCTGAGAGGACTTGCCATTAAGAAGATCTGACCTACAAAAAATATCAAGAGTTCTTCAGGCTGAAATAAAAATATGATAGATAGTAACTTGAATTCACATGAAGAAATAAAGAGCACCAGTAAAGGTAACTACACAGGTAAATATAAAAGACAGTATAAATGTATTTTTTCTTATTTGATATAAAAGAAAACTAAACAAACAATAATTATAAATCTATGTTGATGGATAAAAAATGTAAAAAGATGTAATTTGTGATCATTACAGCATAAAGGAGGGAAAAGATTGGCATTATACAGGAGGAAAGGTTTTGTGTACCATCAAAATTAAGTTGGTGTTAATCTAAGTTGATTGTTGTAATTTAAGACGCTAATGGTACTCCCCAGGGCAACGACTAAGAAAACAATCAAAAATACATAATAAAAGAAATGACAAGGGAATTAAAATAGTATACTTGAGTATTTTTCTATAAAAGCCTT